GCCCAGGGCCAGATGGCTTCACAGGTGAATTCTATCAAACATTTAGAGAAGAGCTAATGCCTATTCTTTCCAAACTCTTCTGAAAACTTACAGAGGAAGGAATACTTCCAAACTCATTCTACGAGGCCACCATCACCCTGATACCAAAACCAGATAAAGACATCACACACAAAAAAGAAAATTACTGGTCAATATCATTTATGAAGATAGATGCAAAAATCCTCAACAAAATTCTAGTAAACAGAATCCAACAACACATTAAAAAGATCATACACCATCATCAAGTCAGGTTTATCCCAGGAATGCAAGGATTCATCAATATATGCAAATCAATCAATGCAACACACCAGATTAACAAATTGAAAGATAAAAGCCATATGATAATCTCAATAGGTGCAGAAAAAGCTTTCAACAAAATTCAGCACCCACTTACGATTAAAACTGTTTAAAAATGGACACAGGAGAAACTTACCTCAATATCAGTTCAGTTCAGTCACTCAGTCGTGTCCAACTCTTTGTGACCCCATGGACTGCAGCACGCCAGGCTTCCCTGTCCATCACTAACTCCTGGAGCTTTCTCAAACTATGTCCATTGAATTGGTGATGCCATCCAACCATCTCATCTTCTGTTGTCCCCTTCTCCTCCTACTGTCAAGCTTTCCCAGCATCAGGATCTTTTCCAATGAGTCAGTTCTTTGCATCAGGTGGCCAAAGTATTGGAGCTTCAGCTTCACCATCAGCCCTTCCAACTAATATTCAGGACTGATTTCCTTTAAAATTGACTGGTTTGATCTCCTTGCAGTCCAAGGGACTCTCAAGAGTCTTCTCCAACTCCACAGTTTAAAAGCATCAATTCTTCAGTGCTCAACTTTCTTTATAGTCCAACTGTCACATCCATACATGACTACTGGAAAAACCATAGCCTTGACTAGACAGACCTTTGTTGGCCAAGTAATGTCTCTGCTTTTTAATATGCTGTCTAGGTTGGTCATAGCTTTTCTCCCAAGGATCAAGCATCTTTTAATTTCATGGCTGCAGTCACCACCTGCAGTGATTTTGGAGCTGAAAAGATAAAGTATGTTTCTGTTTCCATTGTTTCCCCATCTATTTGCCATGAAGTGATGGGACTGGATGCCATGATCTTAGTTTTTTGAATGTTGAGTTTTAAGCCAACTTTTTCACTCTTCTCTTTCACTTTCATCAATAGGATCTTTAGTTCTTCACTTTTTGCCATGAGGATGGTGTCATCTACATATCTGAGGAGGCCGTATATAACAAACCCACAGCAAACATCATTCTCAATTATAGGAAACTGAAAGCATTCCCTATAAGATCAGGAACAAGACAAGGGTATCCAATCTCACCACTATTATTCAACATAGTTTTGGAAGTCCTAGCTATGGCAATGAGAAAAAAAAAAGAAATAAAAGGAATCTAGATTGGAAAAGAAGTAAAACTCTCACTGTTCACAGATGATGTGAAACTATAGATATAAAACCCTAAATATACTATCAGAAAATTACTAAAGCTAATAAATGAATTTAGTAAAGTCACAGGATACAAAATCAATACACAGAAATAATTTGCATTCTTATACACTAACAATGAAAAATCAGAATGCAAAATTAAGGAATCAATCCCATTTACCACTGCAACCAAGAAGAATAAAATACCTAAGAATAAACCTACCTAAGAAGACAAATGGAGAAGGAAATGGCAACCCACTCCAGTATTCTTGCCTGGAGAATCCTTAGGACAGAGGAGCCTGGCAGGCTACAGTTCATAGGATCACAAAGAGTCAAACATGACTGAGCTACTGACACATACACACACAAGGAGCCAAAAGAGCTGTATACAGGAAACGATATGACTGATGAAAAAATTCAAAGATGGCATAAACAGATGGAGAGATATTCCATGTTCCTGGGTTGGAAGAATCAATATTGTGAAAATGACTATACTACCAAAAGCAGTCTACAGATTCAATGTAATCCCCATCAAATTACCAATGGTATCTTTCACAGAACTAGAGCAAAAAATCTCACAATTTGTAGGGAAACATAAAATATCCTGAATAGCTAAAGTAATCTTGAGAAAGAATGGAGTTGGAGGAATCAACTGACTTCAGACTATACTACAAAGCTACCATTGTTATAACAGTTTGGTACTGGCACAAAAACAGAAATATAGACCAATGGAACAAGATAGAAAGCCCAGAGATAAACCCACATACCTATGGGCACCTTATCTTTGACAAAGGAGGCAAGAATATACAGTGGAGAAAAGATAGTCTCTTCAATAAAAGATGCTGGGAAAAGTGGACAGCTACATGTAAAAGAAAGAAATTAGAACACTTCTTAACATCATACACAAAGATAAACTCAAAATGGATTAAAGACCTAAATGTAAGATGAGAAACTATAAAGCTCTTAGAGGAAAACACAGGCAGAACATTTTATGACATAAATCACAGCAAGATCCTCTATGTCCCACCTCCCAGAGCAATGGAAATAAAAACAAAAATAAACAAGTGGGACCTAATTAAACTTGAAAGCTTTTGCACAGCAAAGGAAGGGCTTCCCAAGTGGCACCAGTGGTAAAGAACTCATCTGCCAATGCAGGAGATGTAAGAGACATGGGTTCAATCCCTGGGTTGGGAAGATCCCCTGGAAGAGGGCATGGCAACCCACTCCAGTTTCTTGCCTGAAGAATCCCATGGATAGAGAAGCCTGGCGGGCTATGGTCCATAGTTTCCAAAGAGTTGGACACGACTGAAGTGACTTAGCACACATGCAGCATACATGTACAGCAAAGGAAACTATAAAAAAGATGAAAAGACAACCCTCAGAATGGGCAAAAACAATAGCAAATGATCAAGGGATTGATTTCCAAAATATACAAGCAGCTCATGCAACTCAATACCAGAAAAACAAACAACCCAATAAAAAAGTTGACAGAAGACCTAAATAGACATTTCTCCAATGAAGACATACAGATGGCTAACAAATACTTGAAAAGATGCTCAACATTGCTTATTATCAGAGAAATGGAAATCAAAAATACAATGAGATATCATCTCACACTTATCAGAATAGCCATCACCAAAGAATCTACAAACAGTAAATGCTGGAGAGGGTGTGGAGAAAAGGGAACGCTCTTGCACTGTTGGTGGGAATGTAAATTGGTTCAGCCACTATGAAGAACAGTATCGAGATTCCTTGAAAAACTAGAAATAAAGCTACCATATGACCCAATAATCCCACTACTGGGCATATACCCTGAGGAAACCATAATTGAAAAAGACACATGTACCCCAGTGTTCATTGCAACACTATTTACAATAGCTAGGCATGGAAGCAACCTAGATGTCCATCGACAGATGAATGGATAAAGAAGTTGTGGTACATATAAACAATAGATTATTACTCAGCCCCCCAAAAGGAATGCATCTGAGCTGGTTCTAATGAGGTGGATGAACCTAGAGCCTATTATAGTGAAGTAAGTCAGAAAGAGAAAAACAAATATCGTATGTTAATGCATATATATGGAATCTAGAAAGATGGTACTGATGAACCTCTTTGCAGGGCAGCATTGGAGGTGCAGACATAGAGAACCAACTTGTATGGGGAGGATGGGAAGGAGAGGGTGGAATGGATGGAGAGAGTATCATGGAAACATATATAGTACCATGTGTAAAATAGATAGCTGGGGGGGATTTACTATATGACTCAGGAAACTCAGTTCAGGGCTGTGTGACAATCTAAAGGGGTGAGAGGGGATGGGAGGTGGGAGGGAGTTTCAAGAGGGAGGGGACATTTGTCTGCCTGTGGTTGATTCCATGTAGATGTATGCCAGAAACCAACACAATATTGTAAAGTAATTATCCTTCAATTAAAAATAAATAGATATTTTATATTGATTAATTATTTTTTAAAAACCACTTGTGTTTCCAGTGGCCCTACCAGCCACTGGAAAGGCAGCTTTATTACTTCAGAGTAATTTTACTCAGCCCAAGGAAAGCCCAGTGGCTAGTCAGTGTCCCTGGGGCTGGCTTCAGGCTCCCTAGACCTCCTGAGTGCCTTGCTTCTCATTAGAATCCCCTTTGTTGTCTTGGCAGGGTGCTCAGACAAATCCAGAAGCCCCCAGAGCCACACTGCCTTGAGCATCTGAGATGGTGGTGTGTCCCATGTCCTAAAACCTGGGTGAACCTGGGTGAACCTCCTGGTTGTCTCCCTCATACTAAGGTGTTTTCTTTTAGAAAACTGCTTTTGGCAGTTTCCCACAAAAATGGGCACTGGCTCCTTCCCCATTTCAGGAAGCTGTGCCCCCATCTAATCATTATTCAAGTCATCCTCACTTCCTCCCTTTCCTCTTCCTAAATCTAACTTGGATATGAAAACACCAGCATGGTCTGGTCCCAGACACTGATGCCTGTGGCAGACAAACACAGGATCAGAAAGCAGAAACAGCAATTCCCTTTATCTCAGAATCTAGTCAAAAGACATCTTCTTGAGGACAGGGGCCATGTCCTTTCTTTTAAAAATCTTGACAGAATCAACGTTAAATAGGCACTCTCTTTAAAATTTTGAACTCTAAGTCCTTCTAAATGACTTAGAAGGAACTTAAGTAACTATTTAGTCCACTGGGCTTTCTGTTGACATCCCCTTGCACCATTTTTCATGGGCTTCCCTGGTGACTCAGATGGTAAAGAATCTCCCACCTGCAATGTGGGAGACGTGGGTCCAATCCCTGGGTTTGGAAGATCCCCTAGAGAAGGGAATGGCTACCCACTCCAGTATTCTTCCCTGGAGAACTCCATGGACAGAGGAGCCTGGTAGGCTACAGTCCATGGGGGTCAAAAAGAGTGGGACACAACTGAGCAACTAACACTTTGTCCCATTTTACAGACTGTATAAATAAGGCCCTGAGAAAGGAGATGTGATTTACTGCGTGGGCTTGATGGGCAAGCACAACATGACCACAGGCTGTTGTTCTTTTAGGTCATTTCCTTCTTGCTCCTGGGCCTGATGTCCATGATGATTCCCCTCTGCCGGGGCTTCGGGGGCCTCATCGTTGTCTGCCTCTTCCTGGGCCTGTGCGATGGCTTCTTCATCACCATCATGGCCCCCATCGCATTTGAGCTGGTGGGCCCAATGCAGGCCTCACAGGCCATTGGCTACCTCCTGGGTATGATGGCCCTGCCGATGATTGCCGGACCCCCCATTGCAGGTGAGGTTAACATTGAAGGGAGAGCATGAGTGGGGGGGGTCTTGTTTTCCTCAGGACCTAGCCCTCCTAAGTGCCTCTGCTTAAAGTCCCTTTCTCCCTCCTGTCTCTTCAAGTAGTCTCATCAGAGTGCATGAAACCTCTTACCACTATTGATGAAAGAGACTAAGCACAGTATATGTGCATGGATTCATTTGAGGGGATGGGGTTTTCATGGCTGTGAGTTTTTGTTGTAGACAGCATGGCTGATTCCAGGAGGGTAGAGAGAATAATGGGTTTGGCCTTCTGACCATTCTATTGATCCCAAATCTTCTCTCCCTCTCTCTCTCCACAAGCAAGTAATTATTTTCAAGGTAGTTGAGCAGGAAGAGAAACAAAAGTGGGCCCTGGTTTTATTAGTACTTAGAGACATCCCTTCCTCCTCTACCAACTTCTGAACTGAGCCTGTAGAAAACATTTAATTAAGACCACAACTCAAAACTGGACCTATGAAGCTCACTTATAGCAGGCAACAGGCAAAGTGTTGGCTTGCCATCTTTCACACTCCTAATTTCTCTCTCTACTTCCGAGAAGGGCATGGTTTGTAGCCTAGAAAACATAGGAAACAAAGAAAACTAATAAGAGAACATCATTTCCTCTCTTTATGATTTATTGCAAATATTGATTCATGGGGTAGTGTCTCAGGCTGGCCAACTAGGCTAACTCAACAATTATTCCTTGAATACCAATTCAGTGCAAGGTGTTGTGAGGGCACTGGTTGTACTGCATTACAGTGACAAAGGCTCCTACTCAGGCCACTGTACAACAGCCACACTGTCCACTGAGGGAAGGAAGCTTCTACCTAACTCCTGATTCCAAATGTGGATCCCAGAATCCATATCTCTTTCTACTTTGCCTACCTCCTAAGCAGCCCCAGGGCCTACCTGCCTTTCATTAGTACTGTTTCTGGGCTCAGCCTCCCTATGAGATATCCCACATTAGCTTCTGGAGGTGAGCAGAGAAGGCCCCATGTATCATGCCAAACACATTCACCACATTGGCAACCTAGAAAAACCCAGAGGGGCCAACCATATCTGTAACTTGAAGGAAAGATACACATATACCCTAACCCTAACCCTAACCCTAGCCTCCTCTTAGGGCAAATGGGCACTTCAAAGAAAGGGAAAATAGGAACTTGGCTGAGTTATTACATAATAACACTCTAGCCTAAGTTGGGTGTGAGAAGGTGTATCACTGTGAACCAAGACAAGTCTTGGTCATCTTCTGTGGAGTTCTTTTAAAATAGCCTCCCTCCATACCTATCTCCATACCTTGGAGTGACTAGAAGTTAACTGTAGCTTATGAAAGTAAAAAATGGAGAACTTTGAGAAGTTTCATTTGCTTCTTTCATAATAAGCATTTGCCTCAAGAGCCTGCGTCTCAGTGGCTCCGGGAGGAGCTGCTTGTCTTTATAATAGAGGTTTTGTGTCTTCCATCGAGGAGTGTTTAAACTGAGTTGGGCTCCCGGGTCAAGGCAGTAGAGGCCAAGATTCTCTGGATAGGCATTTTGATGGCTCCTAGAAGAAGCAGAGGACATCTTTGTATAGTAGAGCAAAGCTAAACTTGACTTGTCTCTGTTAACTTTTCAGGCCTCCTCCGCAACTGTTTTGGGGACTATCATGTGGCCTTCTACTTTGCCGGTGTACCCCCAATCGTTGGGGCAGTAATCCTCTTATTCGTCCCTCTGATGCATCAAAGGATGTTCAAGAAAGAGCAAAGGGATTCCAGCAAGGATAAGATGTTGACCCCTGACCCAGACCCCAATGGAGAGCTGCTGCCGGGCTCCTCTACCCCTGAGGAACCAATCTAATGCCTTTTATTTGCCATCGTGTGCTCCTCCCCAAACCTTTCCCTTCACCTTGCCCTGCTCGGCATTTACATTTTTGCCACCAGCACACTTGTTCCCAAACCTGCACACACAGCATTTCAGCCACCTGACCATCCCCTTGGAGCTGAAGCTCCAGGTGTTCCAAACTCATTAACCAAATTCTCCCCATGAATGCCTTTAAACTTGCCAGGGTCATCTCCTTCCAGGCTCTAGGAAAGCTTGGGATCACCCCCTGGCCTTTGGAACCTCTCCATAAACTTTGTAACTCTTGGGGGAGGAGAAGGATGGGAATTCCTGGCCCAGCTTGTTAGTCACCCACTAAAAGCAGCTGCCAAAGGTGCTACTGTGTCCCCAGGAGCCTGGGGGGAAGATCTAAATCTCTGTGTGCTGAGTAATTCCTTGACATCTGTCCTTAGGAACCATTGAGAGGTGTGGCAGAAAGGGCATAGAGGTAAAATGACACAAGGAATCTTGTTTAGCCTCAGTGTCTCTGAGGGCTGTGGCTTCCCAAGAGGTGTGGGTGACATCATTTTACAAGTGTATAGACAGTCTCTCCATCATAAGGTTAGTTAACAGTCTGCCTCCTCCTTTCCTTCCTCCTTTTATTCCTCTACTGCCTCTTCTCCCTTCTCATTCACCTCTATTTCTTTTCATAACTGTCATAGACTAATGGGTGCTTAAAGAAAGGAGGGACCCAGAGCTTGGGCCAATCAACCCCTCACCTTGGCCCAACCCACCCCTAACACTAGCATCAATTCCACTCATCTCAGTCTGAGCCACATCTCACCGTTTGGCTCAAGCTTCTATAATCATTGACTGGAATAATAGAATATCACATAGGAAAGGGACCTTAAACACTATAAAGTTCCATTCACTGATTTTTACAGATTTTCTGGGCTAATGCATTAACCTGCAGGCTGTCCCCACTCCCCATCCTTATATCCACCTGTCCAAATGTGAAGAAATTACTCTCATCTCAGGAGGCAGAGGGAGACTGATGACAGGGGGAATGGCATGGTGGGGGAGGGGCAATAATTATTGACCTGGGGAAGGACCAATGCCTCCATCACTCATTATTCATGACAGGTCAACATTTTCACCTGGGCCAAGCCAGGAAAATAACTGTTTGAGGGAAAATCCTATTTCCAACCTGGATCCCCCAAATGTAGAGGCAGCAGCTGCACATAGGGTTGGAAAACTTCTTTTAGGAAAGGCAAACCATCACAGCCTTTACTACCCAATGTGTCCCCCATGCTGGGCATCCTGGACCACTTGGTTAGTGGGAATTAAAGGTGCCAGGAAAGATAGACTCTGGACCATCTTCATCCTCTGAAGTAGGTGCCAGGTGCTTCCCTATGCCTAGGCTCTGGCTGGCACTCTTGCTGAAAAGAATTTCCAGCCAGGCTGTGTCCAGCTAGCACAACTCACCTTATTAGGAGCTCGCCCACTTCCTTCATTCAGCCTCTTTGTGTCTCTCCCATTCTAGGTATTTTTCTGTTGTATTCCTGTTACCCTAATCTTCTCACCAGGCACCTTGGCTGTCACTTAGAGCTAACAGTGACTTGCTACTCCAAGCCAGAGCCATCCCAGGGCCAGGAGGATTAGGTGGCCCCTGAGGAGCTCCAAAGAAGACAGTGGTCCCCACCCATGAGTTTTTCCGTTACAGACAGGCAGCTGGGGCATGGTTGGCCTCTGATGGCTTCATTCAAGGCCAAACTCTGGAGCCCCCTCCATTGGTCCCAGTCCAGCTTTTATCAACCCCCCAAAGGAAAACCCATTGGTTCTTGGCTCTGTGAACACGAAGGGACCTGCCTAATTACTACCCTGTTATCCCAAACAGCAGTAGAACAGGAGGAGCTGGCCCCCAGGAGCTTTTTAACTCCCAGAAGAAGCCACTGAAAATACTGGAGCAACATAGCTCCTGATTCCATTCTTCCCTGCCCACCCCCACTAAGTCACCTGAGGGCAGTTCTGCAGGGCCTCTTTTTTTACTCATGGTGTGGATAGCTCTTAAGAATCAGGCTGCCACTCTCCAGATGAAGGAAAGACATTCACAGGTCCCAAATCTGCTCTATCAGGTGTCATATAACATGGCAGGGTGTCAGTTTACTTCTTCCACACATGTACATGTGCATGTGTGTGCTTGTGCGCTTTTGGGGAGAATGTTGGTTGGTGAAAGCAGCACAGTATTAATATTTAGGGTAAGATGCAGCTTCTTATTCACTACAGTTAAATCAAAGAGAATGAACAAAACTTGGGAGCTTGAGATCTGGGACATTTAAATACTCAAAAGGTTTGGAACAAAATAAACAAATCTAAAAATCCAGCTTTGGTGTGTATGTTGCCTACACTGGTGAAATAGTCCTAATCTGGTTAACAGCAGAGGTTTAGCTTCAGAACTGAAATCATGTCACATCAAATTTCTGCCAGGGTCTATACTCTGTGAGAGCAGAAATCGGAGGAGCTATATAGGGTTGGGTGAAGTTGGGTGAACTATTCAGGATTGGATTTTTAGGGAGCTCTGAAGTAAAAAAGTGTTTACTTCACAAAATGAGAACATGGTTAATGGCTGAGTTGGAGTGGAGGCCCCATCAAGGCTACCACCTTGTTACAAGAATGCAATGTTGAAAACTATCAAAGACCTTGCCAATAATCCAGTGAAAGCCCCTTTTCTTCTCCCTTGTTATTGATGGGGTAACTTGAAGGGACTAGTATAGTTGGGTTAAATAACCAAGCAGCAGCCTAAAATTGAGGGTAACACAGAAGAGAGATCTACAGCAATGACAAAGTGTATCCTTAGAATCTCTGTTGTTCATACTCTGCATTGAATTTAACTGGGGACACTAATGTCTGGATAAAAGGCACTGCAGCAGGTTCACAGAGTTCATCAGTGACAGAGTAGGTTGAAACTTTGAACTCAGGTCACTGACTTCCAGTCCGGTCCAAACCTCTCATTTCACAGATGAAGAAACTGACACAAGAAGGGGGAAATAAATTGCTCACTTCATTCAACAACTATATATCGAACCCATCTGCAAATGAGTGTTGGCAGGACCAGATCCAAGCAAAAATGAAATCTGAGCCAAATCTGACTTTTAGCATAGCCCATTTTTTCACAATTAACTCTCACTTCCAACTGACATACACTTTTGGAATTCTCTCTTCTCAAGCCATTCCAGACTTTCATGCAGCCTTAGCCTTGGAGAGCTGGTCCCACCTATTGCCCTTCTAGCCTCAGCAACCCAAGACATACAAATAAAGCCCATCTCCCTGTGGCTATACACTGGACAGGAGAAGAGTGGAGAGGACTTGTTTCCTTTTCAAGAAGGTGGTTTACCACCCAGCTCTTGGCTATTGTTGTTTCTCCCCTGACTCAGTGCAGACATCCTCAAGCTGCCAGCCTCATCTCTTCCCACTGAGACTAATTACTCTGTTCTGCTGCCTGGCCCCAGGCTCTCCCACCCAAGGTCTGCTGCCCCCTCGATTCCTCCTTTAAGAGCCACAAGGCCCTAGTCTGTGTTTGATCACTCAAGATCATTAGATTTCAAAGCTGTGGAATCCCATAATTTTTATGAGCATATGCTCTCCCCTAGGGCCTTTTCATGTCTGAAGGGGCAATCAGCAGTTCCCTGCTGCTTCACAGCAGCAGAGCAGGCCAGCTAACAGGAATTACAGGTGCCTCCAGCAAAACCGTGGTATCTGACAGCTGGTGCTTAGATAGGGTGTGTGCTGGTTTGAACCACAGCCTTTGAAGCAAGTTCAAATTCTAATAAGCTGAAATTTAGAGAAGACTCCAGAAGAATAAGAAAAGGGATTAAATACCCAACTTCTGCAGGCATTGAGAAGGCTTTACTTTAGAAGACCTTTCAAATCTTGCATTTCAGCTCTCTCTAGTGGTCACCAGAAGCAAAGTTCCATGCCTGGTTTTCAAATCATTTCAGTAATATTTTCTAGGGACCTGCTTTGACAGGCACTTTGCTAGAACCCAGGGATTTCAAGAATGAAAGGAACAGATGTGAAGAAAAAAGAGAGAGAAGAAACACAAGAAGGAATTTGAACTACCTGCTTTCCAAGATGCCTTTTCCTTTTCTGGACCCCAACAGCCGGAGCCTATGGACCTTAAAGCCTTTGGCACAGGCAGGGGCTACCACGCCCCTTCCAGGTTGGAGGCCTCAGCATTTCCCCCTCCCTTTTTCCCTACGACTGGCCTCCCCGGGCCAGAACCTCTCATAAGAACTATACTCTCCTCAGCGTTGGTTTCTTGCTGAGCTGGAGTGAGATAAAATTAGTCCATTGCTCACGACTAACAAGTGTCAACCCACGTCCAGCTGGAGGGAGAGAAGGACAGAGCTAACCCATGGGCTCTCCTGCTAGCCAGTCGACACGGGGTCTGACTTCGGCTGTCCGACAACCCTGGCCCAGGGCCTCCTCATTCCCCTGTCCTACCTGCCCCAGAGATGGGGAACTAGAAAGGGGCGGGGCGACCGCTACTCTACTTTCCCCAACACACACCCACCCTACACTGCCCTCGCAACGACTGGGAATTGGGCCGTGGGATCCGCAGATGAGGATGCTAGCCGGCACCATTTCCCGCCAGATCCCCATGCCCACTCCACACTTGGAGAATGCCTGAGGATGGAGATGGGGCTGGAGTTGGGGGCAGCTCACCGGCCCTTGCTGCTCTCCTGGTCCTGCCACTGACTTAGAGTCACTTTAAGCAGGGTGGTGGGTGGTTCTTCCCCCTCCATGGCTTTCCATCCATTTCCCTGTCTGGGAGGGGTCGGAACCCGGGAGACGTGCCAACTGAGACGCATCTGCCCCTGCTACTCAAATGGGAATCAGACCCATCAAGGAAAACCAAGCCTTCCCTCTCAGAGGAAGCAGGTGGGAAGGAAGGTGGGAGGGCCCAACTCCGGGCCCTGCCAACTGTCTGGGGAGCCAGATGGATAGACAGCAGCTGCACATGTCCTGACCTCAGCTCT